AAAAATAACATATTGCTATGAAAAAAGTCAAGTAGGTACAGAGGGTATATAGTCATAGTGCACACCCAATCACTCACTCTCTCATATTCCTTTTCTCAATAAATATATATTTCCATATCACTTTGGTTGTACTTATAAAAATACAACTATCATTTTTTATACAAACAGGATTATGCTATAAATATAACGGGATTGTGGAATAAATATTCCTTGACTTATTTTTTTAAAGGCAAAAGAATTAATGTAAAAATATTCATATTCACTTACAAATCAAGTTACTATAATATTAATTTACCCTCAAACATGTTTCTCTGGTTAACATGAGTTTCTGGCCCCACCAACTGTCATATTGTTATATTATGACATTAGGCAATTGCTGGTAAAATTACGCCCAGGAGATCTCCATATTCAACAGTAACAGACTAAGTAACCCAGGGTTACCTCTCCTCTGAAGACAACAATAACAATAGTAAAACAGGTCTAAATACAGAAAATATCTTCTTCACCGTACCACTGATCTAATAAGATAATGAGGCATTACCAGGTCAAGAAGGGGTTTTGAGGTAGGCAGGCCTAAGCCACTTCCACCTCCAGGGGACTGAGTGTCCTAGAGCAGTGCCCCTCAAACTACAGCATCACTTGGAGAGCTTGTTGAAACACATCCCCAGAGATTCTAATTTAGCAGATCTATCACCTGTATTTCTAATAAGCTTCCAGGTGGTGGTGATGGTGCTGGGTGGACCACCTTTAAGTGTTCCTGACCTAGACTAGAGATTGGGGATTATCAGGGGATGCAGAAAGCACAGAAATGGCATGGGGAACAGACCAGAGGCCCAGACTCTGTGGAATACCAATCCCTCAATTCCATCCTCCCCACCTCATCTTTGTCTCTCAACAGGATTGGTTGGGATCCCACTGTTGCTTTTGGCTACTTTTACATGAGGTCATCTGCCAATTCTCAGGAAAGAGCTAAGGTGCTAGTTATTTTTGATTTATGACAGAGATGGCACTTCACTGCAGCACGGAAAGGAAAGCAAGTTTTTTCAATAAATGGTGCTAGAACAACAGGCATTCCTTGTGGGGGAGGGGGATCAAACTGGATTCCTACCTCAATATTATTTACAAAACAATCAGTTTCAAGTGGGTTAATGACTTAAATGTGAAAAGTGAAACAATAAAACCCTCAGATGACAAGACAGGAGATCATCTTGATGGCCTTAAGGTGGGAAAGATTTCTTAAATAACACACAGAAAACACAAACCTTAAGAAGTTAAAAACTGTGAATCAAAAGATACCATAAAAAGAGAAAAAATAATAACAAAGGTCACAGAGTAGAAGATATCTCCAATCCACTTACAACAATAACTAGTGTGAAAGACATTAATCCAATTTCAAAACTGAGTAAAGGAGTTAGAACAGGGACTTCACAAAAGAGAAAAAAAATATAAAAAAAGGTATTCAACCTCCATAGTTAGGAAACTGCAAGTTAGAACCACAAACTAATAGCATTGCAAGACTATTAAATTATAAAAATGAAAAAAATCTGACAATATCAAGTATCCTATCTGACAATAGGATAAACTCTCTCAGTGTTATCTACTAAAGTTGAAGACATACACACACTATCGACTTCCAAATATATACACATTAGACTACCCTTAAGTATATCAGGCTGCAAAGAATGTTCACAGTAGCATTGTTCATAATTATTAAAAGCATGAGGAAAAATTCAAATGCCCATCAACAGTAGAAAAGATATTTTAAGATATTTTAAATATTTTGCAGCAAGGAAAATCAATGAATTAAAGATAAATGCAACATGAATAAACAGTACAAAATAATAGTGAAAATGCTCATACAAGTATATACAACATAATGCCATTTATAATATATATAGTATGATACCATTTATATAAGTTCAATATCAGGCAAAACCAATTCATATTGTCTTAAATGGTACATATGCTGGTGGTATAAAAAGCATGAGTATTATTACTATAAAAAGTCGAATAATGATTAGCTGTAGGACAACAAAGAGAATTAAGACTAGTAAATGAGAGGAAAATTTGGGTGTGCTAACAGTGTTTTATTTCTTGACATGTGAGGAGGTTTTACTAGTTTTCTTTGTTTTGTCTCACTGTGTTGCCCAGGCTGGAGTATAATGGCATGATCATGGCTTACCACAGACTCAAACTCCTGGGCTCAAGTGATCCTTCTGCCTTATCCTCCTGAATAGCTGGGACTACAGGCATGTCTGGCTACTTCTCATTTTTCTATTTTTTTTGTAGAGACAAGATCTCACTATGTTGCCCAGGCTGATCTCAAACTCCTGACCTCAAGCAACCCTCCCATCTCAGCCTCCCCAGGTACTGGGATTATAGGCGTGAACCATCACACTTGACAGCTAGTGTTTGCTTTACAATTATATGTTCAACTATTTATATGAGATAATGCATGTTTTTATATGTCATATTTTACAACTTAAAAAGAAAATGTTGGTCAGGCACAGTAGCTCATGCCTAAAATCTCAGCACTTTGGGAGGATGAGGCAGGAGGATTACTTGAGCCCAGGAGATTGAGACCAGTCTAGGCAACAAAGCAAGACCTAGTCTCTACAAAAAATTATCCAGACATGGTGGTGCACGCCTAAAGTCCCAGCTACACAGGAGGCTGAGAGTAGGAGTGCCTGAGCCCAGGAGTCGAGGCCACAGTGAGCCGTGATCATGCCACTGCAGTCTAGCCCGGGCAACAGAGTGTGACCTCAACTCAGAAGGAAAAAAGAAAATGTTAAAAAACCAAAAAGAGAGAGAGAGTGAGAGAGACAAACTGGTCCTGTAGCCAGGCTGATCTGGTTGAAAAACCTGATCTGTAATGTAAGTGCAAAATCTTAAGCAATTCTTACAACCTCTTGAAATTTGAGTTTCCTCAATGGTAACATGAAATAATAATATATACATATTGCATGTTGTGTGGTATAAATAAGATAACATATTTCAAAAGTCTACAACAGTGTCTGGCTCAATAAATAGAAATAAAAGATGTTCGTGCACAGAAAAATTCAATACTATAAATGTTAATTCTCCCAAAATTGTTATAGATAATCAAAATCCTGTTTTTGATAAAAATAAACTTAAAAAAAATTCTAAAAGCCATCTGTTTTACCATATTTACAAGTATTGAGTTTGATACAAGATAGTTTATAGCATGCATTCTCAATAGGGTAATATTGACCATAGTGGGGGCAAAAAATGATTCTTAGGGGAGTGAAAACAAATATTAACTATTTAAAATTATTTGTAGGCTGGGCACAGTGACTCATGCCTATAATCCCAGCACTTTGGGAGGCTGAGGTGAGAGGATTGCTTGAGCCCAGGAGTTGAGACAAGCCTGGGCAACATGGTGAGACCTTGTCTCTGCAATAAATTTGCATTCTAGCCTTGGCAACAGAGTGAGACTTTGACTCAAAAAAAAAAAAAAAAAATTATTTGTGGCTCTCAAAAGTTCAACTCTCAAAAATTCAACTCTATCTGAAAAAAAAGTCATATATATTAGTATTTAATTTCTCATTAGGGAGAAATTAAAATAATTTAAATTCAATTTTATTTTTTTCCTTAGAGGTGATCATGAAAAATAGTCTGAGAAAACTTATCTATAATTTGTTCTGAAGCAGCTGGATCTAACATGAGGAAATAAAAAAGTAGAATCACAGTTTTTGGAAATAAGAAAATTGGGCTATAATGCTTTCCATCTATCCAGAAGAGCTTAACAATGAAGGAGAAAATGAATGGACAGGTGTTTAGATTTTCCTGTAAACATAAGTTCAGGCTATGCTTTTAAATCTTGTACAGGAATTTTAGGAAAATGGTTAGAAGTGAGCATTGTTACAAGGAATAATAGCACCCAACATTCTAGTTTTCTTTGAGAGAAAAAGCCAGGAAAATGGTAGCCCAAGAATTTCAGAAGAGCCTGATGCCCCTTTTTTCCATTTAAGTATAAACAAAAGTTTAAGTGTAAGCAAGACTGAGAAATTTATTAAGTCAGAAATTTATTGTTAAGCCACATATTGAGACCCCATCCAAAAAACAAAGAGCAAATAAATAAATGAGGAAAGAAAGCAGGCACAATCAAAGTTTTTGAAAATGAAAAAACAAATGCACGTATTAAAAATACATGAAAAATTAGAAAAATCTTTCCTATGACAAAGATGCAAGAAAAGCAAGAACAATCTATAGAGGATGTTAATAAGTGAGAAAATGTATAGTTAAGGCATTGCTTTACAATTCATATTCAAACTAAAAGCATCAAAACAGATTTTGGAACATTTACTAAAATGTTACTAATGATTATATGCTAATAATGTGGTAGAAAACACATTTAAATATTAAGGGCAATGATGCATGTTTTCATTTGATAAAAGATTAAAATGGGCCATTGCCTTGCTAACGCTATGATGTGGCCATGTTCTTTTTGAGCTATGGCCAGTCCATGTTTCTTAAGCCTTGGCCTCCTCCCCACCCTTGGGGAGGTGAATTCCTTCTTCTCTCTTTCTCCAATTTACTTTCTAAATAAACTATATTTTCTAATCTAAAAAAAAAGATTAAAATGATCTGTTTAGTCAACCCCTATGAAAGACCAATTCTTTATATAAATTACTTCTTCAGATCCATAAAACTCACATATTCAGTCATTTCTCTACATCCTGTATTTCCTCATAAAACCATACTTCATTAACACTGTAACTTGAAGATCTACATAATAACCATATAAGCATACTTACTGCTAACTACTGCTTGCTAAGAAGATCCTAAATAGCCTATTCCCATAACCCTTGGTTGCCTAAAAACAAAATAAAGTTTTTCAAAAATTTTTTAACAGAAATAACCCTTTAATTCTAAACCTCCACAGCAACATTAGATATTTTATATGCATTATTTTCAAAAGTTTTAATAAAGAAAAATAAACTTTTGAGTAGCCAAAGAAGCTATAAACTTTTACTTACATATTCGGGCTTTAGTTTTTTATCTCCTCCTCTCACAGCCACCTTTTCTAGTTTATCTATAATGGGTCCAATCATTTCCTCATCTTTAAGCTGAAGCTCTTCGTGTATTATTTCTATATCTCGAATAGGATCTACACTTCCTTCAACATGTGTGATATCATCATCTTCAAAAGCACCTAAAATGAATTAAAGGGAAACAATTCAATAAACAAATAATACAGAGGGTCATTACGATTAGAGTAAAAGACTACTAGAAGGTTAACAATTAGTTATAGTGAATAAATTATTCTGAATCTATGCAAGTTGACATAGCATTTTTTTCCCATTTCATAATACCAAGGATACCAGTAACAAAACAGTAGTTCAAGAGCCTCAAATATTTCAAAAACTGGTTGAAGTAAATAAAATTATGGTCTTTACAAAAAAAAGTATATTCTGGAACTACCGGCATTTCCAATTTTGGTACATTAAGAGACACTGAATTCCAGGCATGAAAGCCTGAAGTTCTAAACTGCACTATTAGGGTTTCCAAGGGAAACCAGATTTAGGGAGGGGGGGGCCTGAAATCATCTGGCAGACCTCTTCCCTGCTTCAATCTACTTTATCACTGTGGTTCTGACGGTGATTAGATAATGAACCACTCAGACACACAATTTACACAGCAGCTAATTTCATCGGCCTGATTTGAGGGTATGGTTTTTAGGGGGCTATCAAAGAAGCAGATGAAGGTACATTTGTCATATATGAGTGACAACCATTCACACTATCTGAACAAAATGGTGCTGGCCCTTATTAGAAACACATGCTATTATCACATATTTAAAGTGAGTTGAAGCCATAATTTCAAATTGCCAACTGGAAACATAAGGGTAAAACAACCAGATATTACTGAAGCATGTGTACTGACTTTATGCCCTTTTGAAGACATAATGTGGCAACATAATTCAACTGGGATTTACTCAAATTACCAGATAAAGAACAGTATCACAAAAAAATGAACAAATACAAAGAAATATTATAACAGAAAGCAATGACATACCCACAAAACAATAAACACATTTATAAACAAATTAATTTCATTAAAATTACCAATTAGATTACAGTACCAAAATGACATGTTTTCAAACATAAAACATCAATTATTTTATACAGAGGTATCACACAAATCATGAGAGACAGTTTGAGTTTGGTAAGAGAAATAGTGAATATAGCTCATATCATTAGATATTAAAGACCAAAATATTCTTGCTATAGGTTACAAATAGTTTTTAAATATAATTTCCCAGAATGAAAAATAATTCAGTTGTTTGTATCTTAATGTGGATAACTCAGTAATAATAAAAGCATATTACTGAAATATTTAAAGTAATATTTAAACTTTTTTGGACATTTCATTATGATGTTGTACTATATAGTGTCAAACTTATATGAACAAAATTAGCAAGAAATGAGGAGCTACATTATATTTTACCATAAACACAACAGACAGATAGTGGTTGGTAATTTTTTTGAATCTTTGAAAATATGAAAGAAGTCTTCCTGAAAGCAAAAAGTTATTTACCTCTTGTCAAGATTTGAAGCATCTTACACAAACGGCATAATAAAATAGAAAAATAAAAAGTCAGCTTCCTGGCAGTCAAGCAACATGAATAACCTGGTCAGTTATAGAAGTAACTAAGCTTTCTATGACATACAGAATGAAACATATCCTATATAATTGTCTCTATGTAGTGGCTACCACTATAGTGATGTCCTCAATAACATAACCACAATTAATCCATTAGCAGGTTTTAAATGGCAATTTCTTAGTTATAACCCTCATTTTTAACCAAGTGGATAATAGAGAAGACCTTAGTAATTGCAATCTTCTGAAAGCAAAGAAAACAAAGCTCTCTGATGGCCTAAGCTACTCCAAGAAAAATCTAGAATAAAGGTGGAAAGGGGAGAATCATTTGTCTATCTAATAACCTTCAAATTATCTTCTAGGCTGCACTTTGCCTAGACTGTCAAGAATTAGCTTAGGAAAGGAATGATGACTGTATCATCACTAATCAGTTCCCCCTACTATAAGAAAAAAACTTGAACCACAGTCCCTACAATACTCTGGATTGCACTGTTGTTCCTATGCCCCAAGGTTAGTATTACTATTATATGTACTCATATAGTGAAGTGGCAAATGGCATCATAAAAATTTAAATTTATTTTTGAAAATAAGCATTGCCTAATATTAAGATAAAAATTAAGTGAAGGGAACATTAGAGCTATCTGTAAAACAGAATACCTTATGATAAAATGGGTCCTAGAACAGTTATAATAACAAAACTTCCATACAATTAGGTGGCCATTTGGGCAATTTGTTATTTCACGGGGCTAAAAAATTGAAGATTATTTTTCAAAGACATGCTCCTGGGTCAACAGACTTCACCATATACTTATGTTACAGCATTCCTTCACGATCAGGTGCTAAAAGAATATAGTCTTTGAAGTCAGACAGACTTACTGGTCATAGAATCTTAGACAAATTACCTAACCTGTATGAAGGTGCTTTTACCTCTCAGAAAATGGATATGGTTAAATAAGATAATACATGTAAATTGCTTAAAGAGAGCCCAACACACAGAACTCTTTCAGTAATTGGGGCATATACTATTGTTAATGATGTAAGAATTAGTAATTTAGAAAAATTCTACAGCAACATACTCAAAACATTAATTTTGAGTGACATAGTTTTAAGCTACTCATCTCACCTTGGAAAAGGTTAAAATAAACTTTGACAATTTACAAGTTTTTTTCTCCCCCAAAATTCTTACTAATTCACTAGCACACTTTTAGCCTAGTCCATAGCCAAAGTTATTTCAACTTGAATTAAAATAGTGTTTAGTTTTAGTGTACTAGTAAATTTAGAAGACAAAGACTATTATACTGAATCGCTTGATGAGAAAGCTATTTCCATTACAATTTCCTTTCAATCTTTATGATTATGTCAAGGAGAAAGTCTCAGTTTGATGCTGATTTTTAATGTTTACCATTTTTAAATTCATCTTTTTATCAACAGAGCAGGCTTCAGACTCAGAGCTTCTTTATAAAACTAGTTTCACTGTATTTATTTTTATTATCTTCAATTTTGGCAAGTGATACTAATTTTCCACTTACATTAGTGACAAGGTTTCCTGTTTAAATATATTTAACCAAAAATGTGAGTAATTATGTTTTAAGTATTAAATTTAGATCAACATATATAAAATAATATTTTTGGTAAATTACTCCTATCAAGAAGAATGCCTGAAAATATTAATTATAGTCATTTTGACGGTGGTAGGATATGATGTGATTTTTTAAAAACCTTATTTCTGGTATTATGAGATGTAGCAGCATTTTTACATTCAATTAGTTTTGAGAACATTCCTCTCTCTATTCACTGGATAAAATAGGGTAATGTGATAGAGCATGTATGTGTATACTGAGGAGAGGGAGGGGCTGTGCAACACTTCAACTAGGATAGGCAGGAAGACCTCTGTGAGGAGATGACATTTGGAATAAAACCAGAATGGCCAGAATGAGATAGTAATGTGAAGATCTGAGAGAAAAGGGTTCTAAGAAGTATAAAAGAGTATAAAAGTTCTAACGTGGAAATAAGCTTGAAGTGTTTCAAAAACAGAAATATGGTTACTATAGATGAACCTCAGGAGAAGATGGCAGAGAGTTTAAGGTAGAGAGGTAGAGCAGTTCACATACATTTGTAAACCATGACAGTTTGGATTTTATTCTAGCTGCAATGTGAAGCAATTGGTTGGCGTTTTGAATAAAGGAGAGTTAAGGTGGTAAGATATAATTTATGATTTAAAGAGCTCACTTTACCTACTTTATAAAGAACAGACTCTGAGGAGGCACAAAGACTAAGTTGGGAAGCCAGTGTAGTGGTGCCAGTGAGAAATAACCAGATGAAGGAAAGCTGAAATAAGATTGCAGAGAAGGTAAGTGTGCTGGGAATGTGTTTTAGAGATGAACTAGATGTAGGAAGTAAGGCCATGAATGAAGATATAAAATCACGCTGTCAAATGCATTTAAAGTTACAGGTCTGTGTGACGTGACTCAGAGCAATCCCACACTCAGATGTCTGATGGCAGAGAATTTGGCAAGGGACCGGGGAGTGACAAGCAGTCTGAGAAAGAGCAGTCTGTTCTGATGAAAGTGGGGGAAGGAAACTGTTTCGGGAAGGAAGGTGCACTCAACTGGCAGGCGGCGTTTGGAGGCAAAGATAGACAAAGTATAGAAAACTGATCACTGGCTTTGGCAAACACGCAATTCACGGAGAAATACTTTACAGATTACATCCCTTTCTGTACTACTTCTTCCACATATCAGAGATGAGAATATTGCATCTAAAGGATGCAAACACAGACCTATCCACTTATAACTCAAAAGTCCAAAAGAATTTACTTTTAGCAGTTCTGCATTCATTGAATTTTGAGAATAATCCTCTCTCTATATTATAGATATATTAACTGTATAAAGTAAAACACAGTAAGATTTCTCACAGTTTGTGAAAGAGATCCTGTCAAGAAAGTGGCCTGCTTAGAAACCAATGCCACTTTTCAAGACTCATATTCCAAGTAAACTGGCATAAATAAACAAAAATCATACTTGACCAGTTAACTGCAAGTTGGTCAACCAACTGACACAGAATCACTGACACCACACATATCACCACAATCAAAAGAAAACTACGTTCACAGAAGCATTCAAATCAAGTTTCACATAAGGTTTCCTTATTGTCCAAGGTAACTCTATGCCTAAAGATAATGGAGCAGTGTTTTCAGAGTTCTAAGGAATGAAAACATAGCTCAAGAATTTTATACCCATCCAGGCTGTTTTTCCTCCTTGGGAATACAGAATAATGGTGAATGGTGAATACTCTGTGCACTTTATATACTCTCTATATAACCACGTCTAAACAATCATAAGAATTATGTCAATAAAATAGAACATATACAATATAAACTATAAAAATTACACCCAAAGGATTGGTTCCAGGACTGCCTGAGAGAACCAATAATCTGAGATAACTAACATGCTTAAGTCCTGTAGTGAGTCCTACAAAACCCATGTATAGGAAAAATGGGCCCTCCCTACTTGCAAGTTTCTCATAGAATATTGTATTTTCTATCCACAATTG